GAAGAAACCCTGCAGTCTGTTTATTTAGATGTGAAAATGTGCCATGTTGGTTTATTCTTGTACTTATGTAGACTTGCAATAGTAGTTGGGCTTCAGACATTAAAAACTACTTGTTCCACAGCATGCGGTCCATTTTGAGAAATCACAGATACCGGAGAGATGCAAGAACTCTAGAAGATGAGGAGGAAATGTGGTTTAACACTGATGAAGATGATATGGAGGATGGAGAGGCAGTGGTACCCCCCTCTGATAAAACTAAAAATGATGATGATATTATGGACCCTATAAGTAAATTCATGGAAAGAAAAAAATGTAAGTGACTGGAAGGAAAATATTTAATTGTCTAGTTTAAATGGAAGGCTTAATTTGCATTTTAAGAAAACAGTTGTTCTGTAAGAGAGGATTTTCCTGTATTTTCATATAAATTATTACATTCACCTTTAGTACTTATACAACTAGACTGGCAGTTTATTTATTCAGACCAAAAAACCTTTTCATATTATATGCAAAGGCTTAAAAATATAGTTTTGTGTTCTGAATGAATTTGTTTTTCTTAAAGCACTAAAATGAGAAATACTAGGCAACTAATCAAGGTGTCATATATTTTGTTTGCTCAGATTTATACCTTATCAACTTGTCTGTGCGTTAAAGTAATACCGCTAATAGGAAAAAAAAAAAAAAAAATATATATATATATATATATGGGCAACCCTAGCACTCTTAGCTGGTTCCAGAAAAAACGATCGTTAAGCAGAACCGCACTAAGCTCTACCCATTTCCCCATAGGAATGAATGTAAATAGAAATAATTGGTTGCCGCCGCTTCTTGCTGCCGCTGCCTCTCTAGCCCCAGGTGGCAGCCTGGATCTGCGCTCCTGCTGCCCAACCCTGGGCCTCCGCCAGCCCAAGTGCTGGCGCAGGCCCTGCACTCATGCTCACCCCCCACTTGCTACTTCACACCACCACTGCCTTTCCTCACCCGCCTGCCAGCTGCTTCAGCCCTATGTGCCAGCCCGGGCACTGGCACTCCTGCCGGTTCCTGCTGCCTGACTCTGGACACAGGCTCTGCCGGTCCTGGCCCCAGTGCGGGCCCCACACTTTCCACCACTTCTCCCCAGCCCCCCGTGCTCAGGCCCGCCCCCCCACTTGCCACTGCCACAGTTGCTTCTCCCTGCCCATCCCGACTTCTCGCTGATTCCACTGAGCGCTATAGTAAAACTGGCTGAGTGTGCAGTGAAATCGGGTATCAATTTTAAACGAGCACTATAGCAAAATAGCACTTACTGAAACCGCATGAAGCGGGGGTTGCCTGTACTGGGTTGTAATCCATGACTACAGCTCTTGGGTAATACAGTAGTATACTTGAATAAATCACTGCACTCTGTCTACCAGTGTAAATTAAATTAGATTTATAACTACATATTCTATTTTCAACACGCAGCAGTACTCCAGTGCAAATAAATATATTACTTAAAATATATTTCTTTCTTTCAGTGAAAGAGAGTGAAGAAAAGGAAGTCCTTCTGAAAACTAATCTTTCAGGTCGTCAGAGCCCAAGTTTCAAACTATCCTTCTCTGGTGGTACAAAAACTAACCTTACCAGCCAGTCATCTGCAAGTAACTTGCCTGGGTCTCCAGGTTCCCCAGGATCTCCGGGTTCCCCAGGATCTCCCGGATCAGTTTCTAAAAGCACATCTCAGATGGCAGCTATTACTACCAAGGTACTTTTTGAGCTTCCTTTGGGCAACTTTCATTATAGCAGAGTTAGAGCCAATTCAACCACCTGTATAAACCTGAGTGAGTTCCAGTAGCTTAAAGACAAATTATTTTGTTTGTGTCTTCAGTTTTTTCCTTGTATATCATATTTATCCAAATCCAGGATGACTTTGAATTAAAGGCAACCCCCAATAATTAGATTCCATTAATGGAAAATTATAACAAATTTATAATTTTCCATTTATAAAATCTAATTATTGGGGTATTGTCATTTAGATTTGTCCCCAAACATGGGGAGGGGGCAAACATCATCTTGCTCCCCCACACACTTGCCCACTCCTGCCTGTCCCCCATCGCTGCTGCTTCCCCCCCC